CTTTTTGGCGGTGTTGAGGCTTGAACTCAGGGCCTTACATTTGCTAGGCTTGCTAGACAGGTGCTCTACCATTTGAGCCATTCCACCAGTCCTACTTTATATTGTTTTTTTTCAAGATAGGGTCTCAGGAACTATTTGCCTTGGGCTGGCTTTGAACTGCCATCCTCCTAATCTCTGCCCCTCGAGTAGCTAGCATTACAGGAACAAACCACCAGCGCCCAGCTAAGCCTTTTTTTCTTTGTGAAGTATGCCTCCCCAGACATTTTGTTATGGAAATTAAAAATGGGCTAATACACCCATCATTAATTGAAAATATTTTAAGTCAAAAGTGCATTTAAGCTGGGCACTGGCTGTTGTAAGGGTGGTCCTAAAGAAGATAACTGTCTAAAGTGGGATTGGAGTCCTGGGCCCCCATAAGTAGCATGGTTGAGAAGGGAATATGTGAAATTACACAAACACATCTGTCTTGCTCCATTTTCTGTTGCCATAACAAAATACTAGAGGTTGGGTAATGTATAAAGCAAAGATGTAGCTCATAGTTTTGGAAGCTGAAAGTCCAAGATCGAGTAGCCGCATGGGTTCAGCCTCTGGTAAGGACCCCCTTGGCTGCATCACAACATGGCGGATGATATCATGGTGGGAGTTCTTGTGATGGAGAGATTACATGGCAATACCAGAAGCCAGACAGACTCAGGGGCCAGGGTTGCTCTTTTAATAACAACTCACTCTCATGGGAACTAGCTGGGATCTTGCAGAACAACATTAATCTTTTTAGGGATTAAGCAGACCAATGACTTCTCTACCTTCCATAAGTCCTTAGTCCCTACAGTTTCAACCACCTCAACGTAAATAACCCCAGGATAAAGCTTCCCACATATGAATCTTTGGAGGATGCACTCAAACCACATTCAAACAATAGCAACCACAATTCCTTGCCTGGTGGTGGTGGTGATGTTGCTGACGGTGTCTATGATGGTAATTTCATGTGCCCACTTGACTGAGCTAGGAGGTGCCCAGATAGCCGATAAAACATTATTTCTGGGTGTGTCCCTTTGAGGGGATTTCTGGAATCGATTAGCATTTGAATCAATAGACTGAGTAATGAAAATCCATCCCCACCAATGTGGGTGGGCATTATCTAGTCCATGGAGAATCACACAGAATAAAAAGGTGGAAGAAGGACAAACTCTGCCTCTGTCTCTCTGGAACTGGGACATCCATTTGCTCCTGGTTCTTGGGCCTTCAGTCTCAGACTAATTACATGACCTGCTCCAGCACAGGGTTTCCAGCTACAGGCAGCAGATTGTGCAGCTGCTTGGCTGCCATGTTGTAATGACACTATAGTTTGGAGGAAAGCTCTCCCAAGATTCATATGCATAGCTTGGTCTCCAGGGTGTTGGTATTGGGAGCTGATAGAGACCTTTAGGGTGTAGAGCCAACTGGGAGTGCTGGTGCACACCTGTAATCCTAGCACTCAGGAGACTGAGATCAGCAGGAAGATTGTGAGTTCAAGGCCAGCCTGGGCTACATAGTGATACACTGTCTCAAAAAAAAAAAAAAAAAAAAGCTGTGGGCCTCATGGGAAATGTTTAGGTTCCTGAGGGTGTACCCTGGAAAAGAATTGTGGAACTGCAGTCTCTTGCAAAGCAGGCACTCTCCCACTTGAGCCACACCTCCAGTCCATTTCGTTTTGGTTATTTTGGACATGGAATTTCTTGAACTACTTGCCCAAGCTGGGCTTGCACAGTGATCTTCCTAATCTCAGCCTCCCAAGTAGCTAGGATTATAGGCATGAGCCACCATGTCTGGTTTTTATTGTGAAAAATTTTAAAGTTATTATTTTTTACAGCACTAGGGGTGGAACCCAGGGCCTTGAACCCGCTAAGCACGTGGAGCTACACCCCCAGCCTGAACCATTCATTCTTACTAAAGGCAGCATGCATGGCTGCAGAGAACACAGCTGAAAGACAGACACCCCGGTTTCAAACCCCAGCTCTGTCTAGACAGCTGAGTGAACTTGCACCATACTAGCTTCTTTCCATCCTGATGTCATCTGTAAAACAGAATAATTCCAATATTGACCTCACTCAGACTTGCTGCTAGGATTAAATGAAAACACAATCACTTGAGAAAAATAGCTGGAGTACATTAAGTGCACAGCTGGGTTTTTTGTTGTTGTTGGGTTTTTTGGGGTTTGAACTCAGGGCCTTGCGCTTGCTAGGCAGGTGCTCTACCACTTGAGCCCCTCCACCAATGCTTTTTGCTTCAGTTCTTTTGCAGATTAGGTGGTATTTTGCCCAGGGCCTGTCTGGACTACCATCCTCTTACTTAGGCCTCACAGTAGCTGGGACCATACGTGCATACCACCACACCTGGCTTATTGATTAAGATGCGGTCTCAATAACTTTTGTCCAGACAGGTGCTGGTGGCTCTCGCCTATAATCCTAGCTACTCAGGAGGCAGAGATAAGAATGGTCATGGTTTGAAGTTTGTGAGACCCTAGCTCGAAAAAACCCATCAAAAAATGGGGTGGCAGAGTGGGTCAAGGTGTAGGCCCTGAGTTCAAACCCCAGCAACGCAAAAATAAATAAATAAATAAATAAATAAAGGCTGGTGGAGTGGCTCAAGTAGCAGAGCACCTGCCTAGCAAGAGTGAGACCCTGAGTTCAAACTCCAGTACTGTCAAATGATAATAAAAATAACTTTGTCCAGGCTGGCCTTGAATCTTGATCCTCTGGATCTCTGCCTCCTGGGTAGCTGGAATTATAGGCGTGATCTATTGCACTCAGCCTTTGCTATTATTTTTATTATAAGCAGTTCCTGCATTGACAGAACAGGTTCTCTCCTCCTATCCCACCCACCAGAATATCCCATGATTAGAGATGGAAAGACACCGTTGGTGAGACCGTGTCCTGTCAAAGGCTGAAGTCTTCCAAAGACGGGGATTGGTCTCCTTCATTCTACTGGCCAGGATTGTCAACAAGACAGTCATCTTACTGTTTTCTTTTCTGAAGACAGATTCTAGCCTCTAGCCCACATTTTTTTTTTTTACACCTTCTTATGTAACCCAAGCTGGCCTTGAACTCAAGATCCTCCTCCCTCATCCTCCCCAGTGCCGGGACTACAGGTGTGCACCACCAGGCCCAGACCCTAATGACATTCACTGACATGGCCCCAGCATTGTGCCTGGCCCACAGTAGGTGCCTAAGTGACAACCAATCATGGAGACTGTGTCACTGGCTGATCAGAGGGCAAATTCCAAAGAGCACTTTTTAGAATAAAAGCCAGGCCCCAGGAGGACAGTACTCTTTTTCTAAAGCGTTTACCCAGCAGGTGCCTCCAGGAGCCTTCCTGGAGCTTCACGCTCTCTGAAACAACCTAGTGAAGAAGTCTCTGAAAATCGGATCACAAAAGGCCCTCAGGTTGGCAAAGCCATTGATTATTTCTCCTAGTGCAAGAAGCTGGGAAAGAGGAGACTGGAGGAGCCGGGGCAAGTGATCCTTAGAGTCAGGCTGGGAAGTCTGTCACCATCAGATGGTAACCATCCCATCCTGTCCTTCCCTGGGGGTTTCCTCCCTGCCCTTCCTGTCTGCCTGTCACTGCTGCTGAGATCAGTCATCCTATGGCCAAGTGTAGGAGTGGTAGCCTGCACGTCAGCCCTGTCTGCCCGCTGGCTGCAGTTGCACATTCCAGACACTTCGAGGCTGGCTCCCAGCCATGCTGAGTCAACTTGGTTGTTTTGGTCAACCTGCCCTGTGCTTCTTCCTGGCAGGCGGGTTTTCTATGCCAGACTCCCCTTCCTGGCAGGGTAGAGGGGAGTTGGTGCGGAAGGAGTAAGAGGGGATGCCAGTGCAAGCTTGTTGAATGAAAGCTTAGCTTCTTGGCACGAACAGAGGCCGGCACCACAGCCTCACTCAGGTCTCCGTTTTTCCCAGCTTTGTCTCTCAGAGTGCTGGGGTCTCTCCACCATCCAAGGAGTTCCTGGGACTGCGCTGAAATCAACATTTTGTGTTTATTGGATGAATGAATGAATGAATGAGGGAGGGAGGAGAGTGGGTGGAAGGGAGGCCTTTCTTCCAAGTGTTTTAGGTTTCTGCTTTATGGCAAGCAAAGCCAAGGACACTAAGGACCGAGGCGGCGTAGGGTGGGCCATAGTGAGTGAGGCCCCGAGCTGTCACCTGGATAATACAAGCCGAGAGGGCGCAAGCAAATTGCCGGGCAGCGAATGAGAGGGAAGGAAAGAGGAAATTAATGAATCTCAGAAACATATCCACAACGAACCCTTGAACAGGAAGAAGCGTGGGAGTCCTGTCATGTCTCTCGGGGGTGAGGGCTTTGGCTTGGTCTTCTGACTGGAGATTGGAGGAAGCCTTCCGGAAGCGGGGAGGTTTGGGGTGTCCGGGGCTCCCAGGCCACCCCCGCTAAACTCAGCGCTCACACGTAGTGCTCCTGCCCTCTTCCCCAGCTTCTGACTTGGGGAAGGGGTGAGGAATGCCTTCCAGTCTCTGAAGATGAGGACGCCCTTTTCCCTACTGATCCCGGCGGGGGGCGGGATGGGGTCTCGGAATTCCTGTGTCCACAGCGGGATCATCCTGTGTGGGGGAAGAGCCACGTCTCTCACGGTTCGCCAAGGAAGGCCAACAGAAAGCTGGCGCAAGGGCGAGGGGTGCCAGAATTTTGCACTGCCCCCCACAACGCCGGCACTCAAAACTACCAAGTCTCCAGCAGGAGGACCCCACCCTTGGCCACTCGCCCCGCCCCCGGCACTCCCAGCGCCCCGCCTCCAAAGCTCCCCCTCCCACCCCCGCACCGGGTTTATAAAAGGGGGCGTTGGGCGCCGTGGGGAAAAGCCAAACAGGGCCGGCCTGAGATTGTGATCCGTTCCTTCGCAGAGCCTTCTGCATCCCAGGGGAAGTCTCCGCCGAGATCCGCACGTCTCCACCCGTTGCATCTCGAGTCCCCCGCGTCCAGGAGTCCCCGCACTCAGGTCGCCCGGGAACATGCGCTGCGCTCCGACGGCAGGCGCAGTCCTGGTGCTGTGCGCCGCCACCGCCGGGCTGCTGAGCGCCCAGGCTCGCCCCGCGTCGCCCGAGCCGCCGCGCTTCGCGTCCTGGGAGGAGATGAACGTGCTGGCGCACGGGCTGCTGCAGCTCGGCCGCGGGCTGCACGAACACGTGGAGCGCACCCGCGGGCAGCTGAGCGCGCTGGAGCGGCGCCTGGCCGCGTGCGGGGCGGCGTGCCAGGGATCCGAGGCGACCGCCGCGACTCCGAAAGACCCCGAGAACCCAATCGCCAGCGGCGAGACGGCTCCCGAGACCCTGCGCAGCCTGCAGGTAGGTTCGGCAGACGGGTGTGTGTGTGTGTGTGTTTGGTGGCTCTGCGAGTGACGTGTGTGTGTGTGTGTGTGTGTGTTTGGTGGCTCTGCGAGTGCCCTCTTGGAAGAGTGTGGACAGGAAGAGAAAAGCACATCCGAGGCTCTCTGGACACTCCGCTCCGGCCTCAAAGGATGTTCAAATGGAAGCATGGACTGGAGGTTGGAGACAATGCCAGGTCCTCAACAAGGTTTGTACCGTTCCACAGGCACAGCTCAAGCTTCAGAATAGCCGGATCCAACAACTGTTCCTGAAGGTTGCCCAGCAGCAGCGACACCTGGAGAAGCAGCACCTGAAAATCCAGAATCTGCAAAGTCAGGTATCCTAAGGCATGGCGCTGGAGAGATAGGGAAAGCTGAACCCAAGATCAGGCAGCCTGAGCCAGGAGACCTGACACCCTCCACCCTCTTCCTGTCCCAGATTGGTCTGCTGGCCCCCACACACCTACACAATGGGGTGAACCAGTCTGCCAGAAGAAAGAGGCTACCCAAGATGTCCCAGTCCACTGGCCTGGCTCACAATGCCACCAGCTTGCACAGTGAGTGTCTGGTCCTTTTCTGTCCTCTGGCAGCTCCTCCAACCCCTCCACTTGCCATTCCTAACTCTACCTCCCTTGATATGTCCACCTTAGGGAAAAGTCTTGGGTCCCTGTAGGCTCCACCAGGCTCTGGTGAGGGGCTTATGGGGATGCCTACCTCCTCAGCCCTGACCTTGGCAGGCCAGGCCACCCCACTCTTCTTCCCAGTAAGCTAGCTGGGGTGGGAAGAGAGACAGTCCATGAGGAACTTAAATTGCCCTGCTGGAGAGTTCCTAAAAGTTAGGAACTTCTGGGAGGCTGTGATGGAGAGGTACCAGATGTGTGGGGAGGTTTCTGAGATTCGATATCCCAAGATCTTTTGGGGTATAGAGCTAGTAGTGACCCCCGGCTCCCAGACTAGACAATTAACGCTTGCTTTTGTTTTTTTTGGGAATACTGGGGTTTGAACTCAGGACTTCAGGGGCTCTACCACTTGAGCCACACCTCCAGTACTGCAATAACTCTGCTTTCTTATAAGTTCAAGGCTCCTGGTCCCTCACACTTCTTCTATCCCCAAAGTTCCTGTCTAGCTTACACCCGTGCACTTGTATACACACACGCACACACACTGCAGAACGGGCTTTTTCTGTTCCATCTCAAGCTCTAAATCCTTTATTGTGCAAGTTTCAAAATTCCCCTGTCTCAAACTGTAGTGTGTGTGTGTGTGTGTGTGTGTGTGTGTGTGTGTGTCTGCTGTCTGTCTGACAGGGGTTCCTATGTCCCACCCTAAGTTCACAGCCACCTTGTCACCCTGCCCAGCATCTGCAGCTGTTCACAGCCAACTGGGTGAAAGTTTGGATCCCCCATTTCACACCCCAGGGCTGGTTGCTGGCTTCCAGCCCTGTAGTCTTTAGGACTCTTCCCCACCCCCTTCCTCTTCCCGCCCCCTCCCCCAGGCAGGTATCTTGGCATGGTGAGAACACCCTCCCAAACCTGAGTGTGGGATGATGGGCTCTCTGGGGCCAGCAGGCACAGGTCCTGGCTGGTAGAGGTGGTGGAAGAGAAGGGGGGTGTTATGTGAGTTTGGGACTCCCAGACTCAACCCAGCCAAGTAGGGGAAAGTTCACAGCTGGAGAGACAAACAGCTGGCCCTAATGGAGACCACATTGGCCTTGGCAGCTTGCCTGTCCTGATTGGATGAGAAGAAAGTAGGGGAAAGGGGAGCTGCCTGAGGGGCCGGGAAAGTGTCCTCCCTTCATTTTGGGCCTGCCCTCCTCTCTCCCCTCAGAGAGTCCCCTCCAGTGCCCCCACCCTACCCTGGTGACCTTTCCCCTACTTTCCCTGGCTGGGCTGGGGGCGGTTCTTCCAGAGCCTACTGAACGCCAAGGCTACCTTCCCTCTCTCCTCTCTTCCTTTCCTCCTCCTCCTCTCCTCCATCCTGCCCCCTGACTTTCTAATAGCTGGGACCCCTGAGGCAGAGCCTCAGTCACCTCAAGCCCCATCCAGGCCACCATCAGCACTGCATAAGCCAGAGCTCCCCCTCCCACTCCTGACCCAGCTTCCTGAATCATTCATTCAAGTTTGTTTTTTTTGAACACCTGCTATGGGCTAGGCTTAGAGTGGATGTGTGCGTTTGGTGACCAGGGGGCCTCATGGAGCCCCCAGTGAGCTGCAGAAGTGGAGACATACCTCCAGATCATCCCAGTGAGGAACATTTATGGGAAGTGCTCCATGCTCATTTTGGGAGGGTTAGTCTAGTCCTGGATGAGGGAAGGCATCCTTTCAGAAGCTGGGACCCAGAGATAGAAGTGAGGGAAGACAGTCCCAGGCAGAGGGCTGAGCATGGGCAAAATTCCTGTGGCAGAAGGGGTGCAATACAAGTAAGGTGGAGAGGGCTGGGGGAGAGCAGGAAAGAAGCCTATGTGGCCAGAGAAGGTGGAGATGCACTGAGGGATGAGGGAGTTGGGCCCGGGGCTGGCATTCCCTGTGTCTTGTAGCCCACACTGAAGAAAGCTATAAGGAGCCATGGAAGAGTTTTGGCAGACGGAGGGAATGGTCATAACGTGAACATTGCCCCTCACCTCTGTATTGCCCTCTACCTGGGGAGTTTTTCTCCTGCTTGAACTCCTCCTTCCTTCTGTCTTCAGGGCTGCCCCGGGACTGCCAGGAGCTCTTTGAAGAGGGTGAGCGGAAGAGTGGACTATTCCAGATCCAGCCTCAGGGGTCCCCACCTTTCCTGGTCAACTGCAAGATGACCTCAGGTAGGAAGGATGCCCTGGCCACCAGAGCTCCCTCTTGCAGAGCACAGTCCCTGATGCTGCTCTTTAAAATGCAGCCCAAACATAGTGCAGTGGTAGAGTGCTTGCCTACCATGTGCAAGGCCACGAGTTCAATCCCCAGCACCGCACACCCACACACATACACTCCTAAAATGCAGCCCTTTCCCCATCACCGTCCATTCCAAACTCAGAGATGGTTTTCTGTGGTTAAGATCACCAGCTGGCCCTCCTTCCCTGTGGGTCCTTGGGACAAAGATCTAGCCTGATCCCCTGCCTGCTAGCACACCCACAATATCCATCCCTCTGCCTCGTCTTCCTTTGGTCCTTCCAGATGGAGGCCGGGAGGAGTGAAGGGAGTGCTGCCCTCCCTGGGTTTAGCAGGGAATCTTGGGGTTAGCAACCAGATGGGGTTGCCAGGGTTCCCTGTGAAGAGGGGCCTCCTGGTGACCCTGTGTCTCTGGGCAGATGGAGGCTGGACAGTGATTCAGAGGCGCAAAGATGGTTCTGTGGACTTCAACCAGTCCTGGGAAGCATACAAGACAGGCTTTGGAGACCCCCAAGGTTGGTGTTTCTGGCATGGCCAGAGGCAAGGGAGGAGGAGGGGGCTGTGGAGGGTGGGCCCACCTCACCTGGCGGCCTCTCCCACTGCAGGCGAGTTCTGGTTGGGCCTGGAGAAGATGAGAAGCATCACAGGGGACCGTGGCAGCCGCCTGGCCGTGCAGCTTCAGGACTGGGATGGCAATGCCAAGTCACTGAAGTTCCCCATCCACCTGGGTGGTGAAGACACAGCCTACAGTCTGCAGCTCACTGCACAAGTGGCGGATGAGCTGGGTGTCCCCACCCCACACCCAATGGCCTCTCCCTACCCTTCTCCACGTGGGACCAGGACCATGACCTCCGTGTGGACATGAACTGTGCCAAGAGTCTCTCTGGTGAGCACCTGCCCTACCTTCAACCTCAAGTGCATCTATGCCCTACCCTCACTTTCTCCTTACTTGCTGTGTGCTGTTGGGTCATACGTTGACTTAACTACTGCTCTTAGTTTTCCTGTCTTTAAAATGGGTAGAACCATAGGTTTATTATGAAAAGCCAATGAGACATTTGTGCCAGGGCAAAAAAACCACCAAGACAAACTCTTGTTTTGTTCTTGTGAAGTCAGAGGCAAAGCTTAGGCTCTGTGAAGTTAAACCATAAAAATTACCTTTTTGTTTATTTATTTATTTTGGTGGTGCTGGGGATGGAACCTAGGGCATTGTACCTGCCAAGCAAGTGCCCTACCAAGTGAGCCATGTCTCATCCTTTTTTTGTGTAGATTTTTTTCATGTGAGGTCTTGCATTTTTGTCTGGGCCAGCCACAGATCGAAATTTTTCTACTTATGCCTCCTACAGAGCTGAGATGACAGGCACACACCACTCCACCTGACTTATTGATTGAGAAGGGTTCTTGCTAGCTTTTTGCCCAGGCTGGCCTTGAACTACAATCTTCTAACCTCCTCTTCCTGAGTGGCTGGGATTACAGACATGCCCTACCATGCCCAGCAGAATGTCCGTAATAAATGTTAGCCATGTGCCAGACATAGACCATAAAAGTTGATTCACTGAGATTGCCGAGAAGAGGCTGGCCAGACCACCACCCCAGCTGCTTTGTCACCACCTAAGCACCCTTAGAACCCAGTGTGAGAATCACTGCCAAAGTCTTCGCATTTAAAATGCGTAAAATTCAAAGCCCCCTGCTCCACACCAACCCTACCTCCCCTCTCCACGTAAGGCCCAAGGCCTTGACCATGACCCCTCTCCTCTGATCCCGCAGGTGGATGGTGGTTCGGCACCTGTGACCACTCCAACCTCAATGGCCAGTACTTTCCCTCCATCCCACAACCACGGCAGCAGCGTAAGAAGGGAATGTTCTGGAAGGCCTGGCGGGGCCGCTACTACCCATTGCAGGCAACCACAGTGCTGATCCAGCCCACAGAGGCTGCAGCAGCCTCCTAGCCTCCCAGTGGAGCCTGGTCCCAGGCTGAAGAGGACAGTGACTTCGGCTCTGGCCCAAGAACATGGCTGCTCTCTGCTCTAGCAGGAGCTCCAAGCAGGGGCCGTGTGGAGCCTTGTGAACAGAGAAGAGGTCCACGACTGGAGCGAGCCCCCTTTCTGAGTGGGGGGCTGCACGCATCGTTTTCTGAGATCAGGGCAGCAGGGCACGGTTCAGCGCCTGGAAGCGTGGGTCACAGGGCATTGGGTGGGCATTGAGTCCCACTTCTCGCCTGCTCGAGGAGTTGGGAACACAGAGGGACCACTTGGGGCCGGCCAGGCTGGCCCTTGATGATGGACTCAGTGACATTGACTGGCTGAGGGATGGGGTTCTCAGGGGCCCCAGCCACCCTCACGGTGCTGTTGTGTGTGGGTGCTGTGGACGAGCTGGTGCCAACGGTGGTGTCAGGGTGGAGCTCACAGAATTCTTGGAATAAAATCAACCTCAGAACATTTTGTTCTTTGTTTTTTGGCTTGTTTTAAAAAGTGGACAGTTTCAAAGTCCACGTAAACATGATCCCAGGTTGGAGAGTGTACTCCCAGGTCCCTTAGGGACAGGACTGGTCCTTCTTTCCCCCCTCTGCCAACCAATCTCATTTCCTTCATTATCATTTCATGATGTGGATCTCCTCATTTTTATTTTAGAAATACAGTTCAATCCCTATGGAAGCGGGTGATTTTGGGGGAAAATGAGTATTTCTTCCCAATCATACTTATAAGCATATGGGTTAGCTCTTTTTTTCTTTTTTTGGCAGGATTGGGGTTTGAACTCAGGACCTCGTGCTTGCTAGGCAGATGTTCTACCACTTGAGCTATGCCCCCAGTCCTTCTTGCTTTTAGTTATTTTTCAGACAGGGTCTCAAGTTTATGCTTAGGCCGTCCTGGACTTCAATCCTCTTACCTCTCAAATAATAGGAATTATAGGCAAACGCTGCTACACCCAGATCTTTTGTGAGATGGGGTCTTGCTAACTTTTTGCCTAGGCTGGCTTCAACTATGAGACTCCTGATCTCTGCCTCTTTAGTAGCTGGGATTACAGACACGAGCTACTGCCCATGGTCTACAGTTAACTTTTTAATGTCTTTCTATTGGATAGAAATATATATCTTACGTTTTTCTAGTAGCCATGTTAAAGAAAAATAGTGGGCCAGAGGTATAGCTCAAGTGGTAGAGCACTTGCCTAGCAAGTTCAGGGCCTTGGGATAGGTCCCTAGAGTCACATAAAATAAATAATAAATAAATAAATAAATCTCTAGCTGGCCACAGGTGGTTCACACCTGTATTCCTAGCTACTTGGGAGGCTAAAATTGGGAGGATCATGGTTTGAGGCTGGCCCAGGTAAACTAGTTCTTGAGACCCCATCTCCAAAATAACCAGAGCGAAATGGACAAGAGGTGTGGATCAAGTGGTAGAGCACCTGCTTTACAAGTGTGAAGCCCTGAGTTCAAACCCCAGTGTCACTCAAAAAAGAAAAAAACACGTCTGCATGCTACAGGGGAAAGCAAAAAGGCCTTGTGCATGCCCAGAACAGACTATGTGTTTAGAAAAGGCCTGGAAAGATGCAAGTGCTCCCTTGTGGCTGACCTGCAGTTACAAACAGCCTGGCTAAATGTTGAAGAATATCCAATGCACAGCCAATCTGTAAAGATTGGGAGATATAATGAAAAAAAAAAAAAAGTAAAGCCAGATGCCCACACCTGTAATCCCAGCATTTGTGAGGCTGAGACAGAAGGATCTTGAATTCAAGATCAGCCTGAGAAACAATAGCAAGTTCCAGGCCAGCCTATGCAACATAAGGAGACCATGTTAGCAAAAAATAAACAAAAAGCAGGTGAAGTGGGGTATGTTTTGGTGGCACGGGTGTTTGAACTTAGGGCCTCACGCTTGCTAAGCAGATGCTCTACCACTTGAGCCACTCCACCAGCCATGTTTTTGTGTTGGGTATTTTTCAACATAGGCTCTGGAGAACTATTTGCCCATGCTGGCTTCAAACCACCATCCTCCTGATCTCTAGCTCCTGAATAACTAGAATTACATGTGTGAGCCACTGGCACCTGACCACACACTGGGACAATTTTGAGAGCAAAACAGGCTGTTGTTAATAAGCAGGTTGACAGGCAAAATAAATCTCACTATCAGGCATATCAGGATTTACCCAGATTTAAAAAATGGAAACATATCTGCAGCAAATCTGGGAAATCAATATCATTTACCATAACTAGGTCAGTAAAACGACAGTTGATATCTGGGCACTGGTGGCTTGTGCCTGTAATCCTAGGGCTACTTAGGAAGATGGCAGTTCCCAGGCAGCCCGAGGCAAAAAGTTCCTGAGACCCTACCTCGAAAAAAACCAATATAAAACAGGGCTTGTGGAGTGGCTCAAGTGATAGAGCACCTATCTAACAAGCCTAGCAAGTGTAAGTCCCTGAGTTCAAGCCACGGTACTGCCAAAAAGGCTCATGGTTCTGGCTAAGGTAGAGGGCCTGTGTATTGTTAGTGGCTTTCTTGCTGGCAGAATCCCAACATGGTGCAAAGTATCAAGGGGCAAGAGACAGGGAACAAGCCAGGAGCTAGTGACTCACACCTGTAATCCTAGCTACTCAGGAGGCAAAGATTAGGAGGATCGAAGTTCAAGACCAGCCTGAGCAAATAATTTGCGAGACCCTGTCTCAAACAAAACAAAACAAAAAACAACCCATCACAAAAAAGGGCTGGTGTAGTGGCTCATAGTTCAAACCGCAGTACCAAACAACAACAACAAAAAACAAAGCAAGAAAAGGGAGATGAAGGGCCCTGCATTGCAGCACCACAAGAAGAGAGAGAGAGGGACAGGGTAGGGTTTTTCCAGTATGTGGTTCTTGTAAGAATGGGATGCTACATCTCCAAGTCATATATTTAGGACAAATGTGCTCCTGTCCTGAGCATAGCTTCTGCTTGAACAGTAGAACCTACCTTTGCCCAGATTTTCCTCCAAAAAATACTTCTCTTAGTACTCAGAGGGACACTTCTTACCCTAAAGGAAAACCTCTGTAACCTGTGATTTTTTCTCCTTTCCTTCGTTCCTTCCTCTTTCCCTCCCTCCCTTCCTCCCTCTCTCCCTTTCCTTCCTCCTTCCCTCTCTTCCTTCTCTGGTGGTACTGGGGATTGAACCCAAGGCCTTGAACTTGCTAGGCAAGCACTCTACCACTTCAGCTACACCCCAGCTCACCTCTGCGATTTTCCTGTCCTGGAACTCTTCCTGATAGGTGCTGGGGACAGAGTAGCTTCCCTGGGGTCCTGGTGAAGGAGACACCAGTCACTAGCCTAATTAACTCCATTTTTGTCTCTCTCTGGCTCTATTTTGCCTGTTTAAATTTTTTCTCCTGAGTCTCTCTACCTTACAGTCACCTTAGATTCCAGAGAAGATAGAACTAATTGATAAACATCATTTTTGGGGGGGTGGAGAAGGAACTAGGATTTGAACTCAGGATCATGCACTTGCTAAGTGAGCACTCCCCCACACTAATTTTCAGATAGTTCTCAGGATTTTTGCCTGTGTGGGCCTTGAGCCTCATTCCTCTATGTCTGCCTTTTTAGTAGCTGGGATTACAGGCATAAGCCACCATACCTGGCCCTCAACAAACATCTTTATAATGAGGGCTAAAAACTACCCCCAAGCAACAGCATTAACTACTCCATAACTCCTTACAAAACTCAAACAGGATGATTAATCATACTGCTGGCTGGCCAACATTACCTGCTCTGTGAGCTATGCATACCTCAACCCCTCTTTTTTCTCCCTCTTCTATAAAACCTCAAAGTTCCTGTGAGCTCCTGAAGACAGACTGTGTGTGGGGGGAAATCACTGAACCCATTTCCCTGTTTTTCCCCAAGTGGCTATGTTAATTAAATCTTCATTCTCTGTCCTTCACCACTATTCATGTCTTTACCTGCCATATTGGGACAGGTGGCTGAGCCTAGTCTGTTGGGACTCCTGGAGCCAGGGCTTCTCCCCTAAAACTGGTAACACAGGCTGAGCTGATCAAGATGTGACGTCCTGACGCAATTGAGATGTGGTAGACATGAGACTGTTTACATTGGACTTGTTTATTTAACATCAAATGTGAGGAATGTGTTGTGCTACATTATGACTATGAGGTCACTAGGTGATGGGAATTTTTCAGCTCCATTAATTTTTTTTGGAGATGGAGGTCTCGTTACCCAGGCTGGCCATAAACTCCTGGGACTACAGGTGTGTGCCAACATGCCTGGCCCTGAGTCAGATTTTCTAAGGATGAAATTCTACAGGGGAGCTGGGCACCCCTATAATCCTAGCTACTTGGGAGGCTGAGATGGGGAGGATCCCGGTTTGAGGCCAGCCTGAGCAAGAGTTTGCAAAACCCCATCTCCAAAATAACCAGAGCAAAACGGACTGAAGGTATGGCTCAAGCAGTAGAACATCTGCTTTGCGAGTGCAAGCCTTGAGTTCAAGTCCCAGACACACTGAAAAAACATTCTACAGGGGAGATGGGGAGGTAGAGGCCATTCCAGAAGGAGGGCACTGTGAGAGCAAAAGCTTAGTGGTAGGTGGGCCCACCTGGGCGGAAAATGGAGTGGTGAACAGGAGTGGGAAGGAGGTAGGGACTAGAACATGCAAGGCTTCAAGCCCACTGCCCAGGAATTTGAGAACAACAGCCAGTACAGTTCTCTGTTCTAGCTTTCAGTATTCCCTCTTTCCTCCACTCATCCCTGTAGGCCCCTTTCTGGTCATCATGGCCTCCTGGCTGTTGGAACCCTTTGGAGATCTCTCACTGCTCCTCCTCCCTATCCTGGCTGTGGTTTGAATGTGATTCCCTCACCCTAGAGTTTATGTATTGCAAACATAATCCCCTAAGTCATGTATCAATGATGTTGGGAGGTAGGGTCCTTGGGAAGTAATTAGGATTAGATGAAGTCATGAGGATGGGGCACCCACAATGGTATTAGTGGCTTTAAAAGAAGAGGAAGAGAGACCTGAGAGAGCACACCTGCTCTGTCTCACCTCATGATGCCCTCTGCTATGTTGTGTTGCAGTACAAAGGCCCCAGATACCATAAGCTTGGATTTTCCAGAAATATATTTGTGGGCTGGTGGAGTGGTTCAAGTGGTAAGAGCATCTGCCTAGCAAGCATGAGGCCCTGAGTTCAAATCCCAGTGCTGCAAAAAAAAAAGAGAAGTATACTTGTGAGTCAAATATACTTCTCAATCTATATATGCTGGATATAACAGTGCACATCTGTAATCCCAGAAACTCAGGAGGTGGAGGTAGGAAGATCACAGTCAAGAGGCCAGCCTGGGAAAAAGCATGAAACCCTATCAGAATAACAAATTAAAAGCAAAAGTATTGGGGGTGTAGTTCACGTGGTAGAGCACTTGCCTAGCAAATTTAAGTCCCTGAACTCAATCCCCAGTATCAGGAAGAGAAAATCTACACAGATTGACTTATTGTCTGGTTATTTTGTTTGAGGAATAGAAAAGAAACTCCCACAGCTGACACCTTTTCATTCTAAGGAGTCAGTGCTACACCACCTCCTCCAAGATGCCTTCCCTGACTATCTCACTAAGGCACTCCACCACTGCCCACCCAGGCTATTCCCCTCCAGCAGGTGTACCACAGGGAAACTATTTTGTTCCTGTTGTTGGTTCCTTGCTTCTTGTCAGGCTCCCCCCACTAGACCTCTGGGACTTTGTCTTGTTTTCAGTGCTGTATCCCAGCACCTAGTAGGTGCTCATTCAGTGTTTGCTGAAGAACAAAGAGCTTTTTAAATAGGAAAGTAATAGGACTTGTTTATGTTTTTAGAACTCCCTCTCATTGCTTTGGGAAAAACAGACTGTGGGGGGGGAAGTGAAGATACGGGAGGGAGACCAGAGAGGAAAATGCTGAGTTGGTCCAAGGAGGGTTGACAGAGGCTACGGTTAGGTGGTAGTAGTGGAAGCAGTGAGAAGTGGTCACACCTGGAGAAATTTAGGAAGCGGAGGTCAGAATAAGGCAACTGAGGGAGGTGGAGAATAGATATGGAGAGAGGAGTCCACCACCTGTGCTTTTTAGTTGTTTTCTTGAAACAGGGTCTCCCTGTGTAGCCCAGGTTGGCCTCAAACTGAAGATTCTCCTTCCTCAGTCTGGAGTGCTGGGATTACAGACATGTACCACCAGGCCCAGCTTAACCTCTGGCATTCATAGGAAGGAGGGGGAATGGAGACACAAGACTGATATGGGGAAAGAGGACAAATTTCTGTCTGAGATGCCTGATGGACATTCCACTGTTGCAATCCAAGTAGCCATAATAAAAATTGTTAAAACAGCACGAGGATTCTATATTTCTGTTATTCACCACTGAATAAATGTTTATTGAGCACAGGGAATACACGAATGATTGAAACAGATACCATCCCTGCCCTCATTGGCTTGATAGGGAACAGAAATGAAACTGATCGACGGATTAAGAAAACAGTACATAATTCAGAGTTAGGACTGTCAAAAGACAGCAGCATCTTTGTAATGTATGCTGAAAATATTCCCAGAGCATAGATTTTCATGTGCTCTTAACACACAAAAATTAACTATAGAAATACAAAGGGATGTATTTGTATATCAAATAAAACAGCATTTTTACACTTCAAATACACAAAGTAAAAATAAATATATACTTTAAAGTCGGGCAGGATAAATCCTATAGGGGAAAATGAAAAAGGATAAGGGGAAAAGGTTATGTTGGAGTGTCTGGTGAAGGATCTGTACTTGATGTGTGTGGTGCTGGGGAACCAAGCTAGGGCTCTGCTTTGCACATTCTAGGCAAGCACTCTACTACTGAGCTACAACTTAGCCCCTAAATATTTGTTAACCAAAGATTTCATAGCAGAAAGTTCAGTATGTTTAAGGGAATGATCCTCCTTCTCAAGACCCACGAGGGTTTCTTCCTTGTTCGCAGAGGAGGAAACCGAGAAATAGAGGGGTAAACTCGTAAATCACCAGCGTAAGAAGGGAAACTGCAAACAAGAGACTACAGGAGCAGAAACAACCGGAAATGGCCATTTATGGGCTAGGGGAGAGAGGAAAGAGGCTAGAGCCATGTCTTGACCTATGACGTCATCGGGACGTTAGGTAGCGTAACATCACCTGGACGTAACTCCATTTCCCTTCCCAGACAGGTTCTCTGATAGAAGGAAAGGTCTGAGTCAATCCTCTCATTGGCTAAACACGCGGTCAATCCGTTTAATTCCTCCAGTTTTTTCCGCCCCGCCTTCCTAAACCTGCTCCTGATAGGCCGTTGAGGCCGTCACTTCAGAAAGGTCCGCATTCCTTCCGCCTTTCTCCAGGAGACCAAGGGCGAGGAGGGTGGAGTCCAAGAGGCACCCACCCCCTCGGCCCCTGTTTCCGCTTCTGGTTGGCTGCACTGGGTGCCGGTCGCTACTACGTCCGCTGCTAATTGGTCATTAGACAACCGCTCTGCGCCGCGCCGGCTCCGCCCCCATTGGGTGTTTGTGGTGGGGCTGCGGAGTCGCCGATCCCGCCGGAAGCGCCAGGACAATGGGGACCCGGGACGACGAGTACGACTACCTATTCAAAGGTGCGGTCGGTAGGGAGCAGACGGTCGAGGGTGCGACGGCGAAGCAGCGGGCGTGCGAGTCGAGGTCGCGCTCAGGCCGCAGGCCCAGGCTGGAGCCTGGGGGTTGAGGCCTGGCGGATTAGGCAGCCAGTGAAGCTGGGGCAGGCTGGGTTCAGTCAGCTTGGGGCCGGAATGCGGGGTATTGAGGAACCCGAGGCGCAGCGAGGCTTAGGGACCCCGGATGCGCTGGGGCGGGACCGGAGCCCAGAGTAGGTGGGGCCCGGAGCTGTGGGAGAGGCCGTTAGGGGTGAGGCCTCCGGAGGGGGCGGGGCAGCGCCAGGATTTGGCGGGTCAGGCTAGGTTGAAAGTGCTATTTGGGATGGGGGCGGGGCCGTTAGAACCAACACATGATGGGTGGGTCCAATAGGTGGGTTGTGTTTGGGCGGAGCTGTTACGTTGCCAGACCCGATTGGTGGCAGCCCATTTGGGGGCGGGGCCATGTAGGAGAGGGCTAGACAATGGGGGCGGGGCCGAAGTGGAAAATGGGTTTGTGCGGGGACAGGAATTGAATGGCGAGATGCGTGTGCATGAAGCACCAATTCTAATTCTTAAAACTCCATTGCACTGACCCAGTTCCTGTACTTTTCTGAGCACTTTACAATTATGGTCTCATTAAATTCCTACTGCGACCTGGTTAAGTCCATATTACCCAGCTTCTGTTTTTACGGACCAGGAAACTGAGGTCAGGTGTGTTGGTACATTCCTGTGACTCCACATTCAGGAGGCCGAGGCAGGAGGATCACTAGTTCAAAGCGAGCTTGGCTACATAACGAGACCCCGTGTCCTGAAGTAAAACAGAATCTGAGGCTCAGACAAGTTCATAAGGGTTGGAACAGGATTGAACCCAAGCCAACTGTGGACTTTACCATTTAGGGAGTGCGTCTTTGGGGGCTCATGGGCTGGATCTGGGACTTGGAGTTGTCAGGGCTTCCCTCCAACACAGCACAGTAATGACCCAGGCCCCAGGCAGTCTGCAAAAGGGTCTTCCCTGCCTGAGGAACCCAGGGCTCTAGGAACATCCTGTGAAAACTAGGCAGCCATGCCTGATGAGGCTACCTTCGTGTCACTGCAGTCACTCATTTCTCAGCTGGGTAGCTTTAGGGATCCCTGGCTTCTTGGACCCTTCTGCGCCAGGCTGGGCTTTGGTCTGGGCCTCTGCCATTCATGCTGGGCTCCATGGCTGACAATGGTGGCCCTTGAGACCTAACTCCTGGGACGCTGAGGGGTGCCTTTGTCCTGCTGCCTGCTGTGTAAGGGTCTGGCAGTGTCAGCATCTTCCCCTTGTTAGGGGAGTCCAGCCATGCCTAGGAATATGCACTGTGCCCAAGCTGGTCTTAGCTGAGGATTGTGTCTGTGGTGGTACTCAGCATCTTGGGATTGTGAAGAATAGGGTAGAGGTAAGGGGTCTGGAATATCTGTGTGGCAAAAGGGACAGGGTGTGCCTGCAGAGTTTCAGAGTTATCACATAGCACCACAAGCTAGCAGAGAGCTTGTGAGAATGTGAGAATGTGAGGCTGTGTGGTCAGTGGGTATCAGTCCCAAGGTCTTACCCCCAAAACAGGGTGAAACTTTGGGAAGGTTTTGGAGACTTGAGATCCAGAGAGCCCTCTGGTGGTGAGTACCTGTCCCAACAGCCTCAGATTCTGTAGTGGCAGGTGCCTATCTCCACTGGGCCCATCCTGAGTCAGCTGCTCCCATATCCTGCCCCCCCGCCCCGCCCGCCCAGTGGTCGAATCCAGGCTTCTGTGGTCATTCCTCACTTGTTATTTTTGACCTTTTGCTGTTATAAATAACCCAGTTCTGAGTGTTTTGCCTGAGTCCTCTTTTTGCCCTTTGGGTTATTTCCTTGATGTGTGTTCCCAGAAGTACAGTTACTGGGTCAGGGGCAACAGAGCAGTGATGTGGTTCCCAGGACTCATCTCCAGAGCTCGCTTCCTGGAAACACTAGTCTGACTTCTTTAGCAGTTGTTATGGTAGGGAGCAGCTGCCTGCCTTGCTGTGCTCCCTCACTGACCTTCTTTCTCTGAGTTGAGCAGGTACCTTGCTGACCTTCTTGAGCCAATTGGTAGCAAAAATCTTAACCTACAAGGTCAGCATTTCCTGATGTGTCATCCCAGGTATCCCCTTCCCAACTCCTACCTTGTCTAAAACACCCTCTGTTATTATTTAGTATTTGTCCTTCAGTCCACTCAAGTTTTCACTCTATTAACTTGGAAAAGGGAGCTCTCTCTGGCCCTGGGAAATCAAAAAGAAAGGAAAGAAGAAAGGGAGCCAGCAGCAGACAAGCCACCACATCACATCACTTGCCCTGCATATGGCAGGTCCACTGAAGCATAAATACACTGTACCTCAGTTACTTCTAGACCTAGCTCCAGAGGCTTAGACCTGGGCCCAGCCATCCTTCATCAACAAGGACTGAGGCTGGGTGACATCCAAAGCACAATGACACTGGAAGTATTGACAAAAACTGATTTTGTCACCATGTGGCTCTCTGGTGGAATTGGGAGGGATCACAGCTCAAGGCCCCCAGCCTGTGCCAAACCAGCCCTCCTCCTTCTACCTCCTTTGGTTGCCTTCCCCTGGCATGGAAGCCAGACCTCTTTGCTTGGGACACTGGCTGCCCTCTGTTGGGCCCTGCCCCCAATCTCACTGCCTCATGTTTTTGGCAGCCATATCACATGTTGGCTCTCTTCACCTCAGAGGCCAAGGCAAACATGTGCCTCAGGTGGGTGACCATGTGCTGTGTTTTTCTCCCCAAACAACATTCTTCTCTTCCTCAGGAGTGAGACTGTTTTTTTGTACTTAATTATAGATCCTCACATTTATCTTCTTTTTTTTTTTTTTTTTATTTTGCAGTACTGGGGTTTGAACTCAGGACCACATGCTTGCTAAACAGGAGCTCTACCACTTGAGCCACACCCCATCCCTTTTTTGCTTTTAGTTATTTTTCATGTAGAGTCTTCAGTTTTTTGCCTGGACCAGCCTCAGACCTTTATCCTCCTACCTGTGCCTCTTGAGTAGGTGGGATTCAGTAATCCCAGTGAGCACCACTATGCCTGGGTTATTGATTGAGATGGGATCTTGCTAACCTTTTTTCCCGGGCTAGCCTCAAACTGTGAACCTCAGGGTCAAGGCCCTGGGAGTGCACACTGTCATGGGGGCAGGCCAGAACATCCAGGGCTTCTGAGAAGTGCCAGCTCTTTTGTTTTTGCCAACTGGGCTTGCCTGCTCCACATGCCAAGATGTATGTCCAGGGGGACCATTGTCCATCCAGCGAAGTCACTGACTTCTTTGGAAATGCTGGGGGCTGTGTTCTCAAGGGCTCTTTATTTTCCCAGGACAACAGATCATTTGTGCTCTTGACAATGCCATTTTCATTCTCACCCTGCAAACTGGGCCAGCCTGGCTGCTGCCCTACCAGCCTTTTTCTGCATAAGGTGCCCTGTGCCAGGGATGGCCGAAGCAGCCCCACCTTCCTGCTGTTCACCTGGACAGTGGCTGGTTGGCTCTCAGCCTGCTCTGGTCTCCACAGTTCTCACTGGGTGACCTTGGACTAGGGACTTGGCCACTGATTTGAGTGTTCTCGAGCAGTGAGAATGATATTTGTGTTGGTCCCTGGGGTGGCCTTTTAGAATTTAGTAAGCCAAGGCAAAGCATTTGGGAGTGGGCCTGGCCCAAAGGAGCATGTTGGCCAGGCCAGGGCATGGAGCACGATGCATGACTGCTGGGAGTGAGGGGACCTGAGACTATACAACTGAGGCACAGCTAGAAAGGGAGTGAGGGTGTTGGGGGGCCCCCATGCAGACTCAAGTTTCCTGTTCCATTCCTGTTGACGTGAGGGTAGGGAGCAAAGCTTGGGAAGGAGGGGAAGAGTGGGTGATGTGGATGGTGTTCCCATGGCCAGTTCAACTGGCTTCGCATTGCCTGGTAGCCAGTTCTTTCCCCTACTGCCATGGTTGGTAGTCATTGGCCCTGGATTGCAAGCCTAGTCCTGCTCTGCCTCTTTTCATCTTTCTCTGAACTTGGCATTCTTGTTGAATGCCACAAGAGGGTGCCAGTCCTATTGCTGTATGTCTCATGGGCCAGGCTATATGGTGGTCTGCAGGTTGAGGAGAGGCCCAAACCAAGAGGTCTTGAAGGATGAGCAGGAGTTTGCTGACTGCCCCAGAGCAGAATGCTCAGGTGGTAGGAGCTGGACAGGTGGGCGCACTGGGGTGCCCTTGTCCTCATTGCCCCCCTGAGGCAGAACCAAAAACCCCTGAGCCACACACATGGCAAGGATGGGAGGAGAACGCTAGTGAGGACATGAGTTGGGAGGGAAAGGACTCAGGCTTTGCCCCAGAGACCTGGGTTCAAATTCTGCCTGGACCACTTCCCAAGCAGGTGGCCCCCAGTATGCTTGGTGGACATGGATGGGAGGTGGAGGCAAGTCTACAACTATGCACAAGCTCATATACACAGGCTCAGACCCCTGCTCTGTCCCCAGGCCCCTGCTCACAGTATGCCTGGGCTCATCATTTGCCATCTGAACCTCAGATTCCTCATCTGTAAAATGGACCACATGAGGCTGAGTGAGGTGGTGCACACCAGGGGTTCCCTTATCTTTTTTTTGTTCTCAGCCTACTATTCTTGATTCTAAAGCAGCCAGCCCAGAATGGGGTTGGGGATTTGTCTGACCTGTCCCCATTCTCACCTGTGTCCAGGGGTGATGACCTGGATATTGTCCAGGTGTGTGTGTAGGCTGTATGTGGAGGTGGGGAGGTCAGATGAGGTAGGCCTGGGAAGCTCTGCCAGAGGCTTTGGTATTTGTTTACTTATTTGACAGACATTTGTCAGTGTTTACTCTATACCAAGGCCTGTGGATGTAGCAGGGAACAAGACTGCAAGATTCCTAGCACAGCCAGGAGGATGGGAGGTGGAGACAGTGAATGTAGACAGTGCACCTTCTAGGGGAGTCCAGAAAGGAGAAAATCAGAGAGACACCTGGAGTGGAAAGTAGGATCAGAAGAGCATTATATTGTTGGCTGGGTGTGGTAGCACACCCCTGGAATTCCAACACTCAGACTGAAGTAGGTTGTAGACAGCTGGGGCTACACAGCAAGATCCTATCTCAGAAGAAAAGAAAAAGAAGAACTTATCTTTTCAGGAGGCAGATAGCCAAACATGCAAGCACAGCAGCACAGTGTGGCTGTGGGGAGAGGAAGAGAGGCTGCTTGGAGGGCTCTGGGCCCTGCTCTTGCTGTGGGACAGGACCCCCAGGCTGTACCCTGGGTCCTGCCTGAGGGCTCTGCCCACTGCCTCTCCCTCACCCCATTTAGCAGGGCCAGTGAGCTCAGCCTCATTCTGTGGCCCAGCCACACCAGCCTCTGCCTGATTCTGAGTGGACCATCCCCTCCTACTGCTCAGGGCCCTGGATGACTGAGCCGGAGCCCCTGTGGCTCTCCACTGAGTAGATTCACCCTCATGTGCCTGGGGGACCAGTTTCTGGCCAGGGTGTCTGGTTTGATGCCTACTGCCTGTGACAGCTGCACTGTGTGCACGTGTGTACACACACACACACACACACACACGTGTGTTCACATGTCCACACAAACACATGCACACACCCCGATCTCCTTTGGCAGAGTGCACTCTAGGTCTGAGGACAGCCTTCCCAGGCTCAGGACCCACCCCAGAGCCTGGGTGGCTCGGCCCCAAGAGGCATGGCTAAGGCAGGACCCTGCTTTACAGCCTGGCCTGCCTGTGTCTGTTATGCTCCCCTCCAAGGGCTTTTATCCTGATGTCCTTTAGCAGAAGCAAGGCAAATTCCCCACCCCACCCCCACACACCGTTTGTCTTCTGGGGTCAGACCCTATGTTCTGAGATGCTGTTGCCACAACCCTGTATCTCCCTCCCAGCCATGTTGCCCTGATGCCCCTTCTGGGTGTGGGCTTGCATCTTAATGAACTTTTCCAGCTTCAAGCAGGTGTGTGCTTGGCTGGGTGGAGACCCCCCCTACCACCACTCCCCTGCCCCTAGCCACAGAGGCCAGCTCTCAGGCAAGACGAGGGAGAGACTGTATGAACTTTTGTGAGGATACAGATGCACACAACCTCAGGGCCCTCCCCCCTGCACCAAGGACCATGCCAGGGCTCAGAAGGTTAGTCCTGACCCCAGGGCAGGGATGGTGACAGGCTCTTTCCCACTGGGCTGCATCCAGGGCACACATTCTTTTTCTTCACCGAATGATCAGTGCTGGAGGTGAATGTGGGTTTGCCTGCAGCAGCCAGAGAGGGGGAAGCATGGAAAGAGAAGCGGGGGTGGCTTCTAATCTCCTATCACTTAAAGCACCACACAGACCCTCCTAGGTAATAACCCTGAAGAATGCTGACCTTCCCATGCCCCAACCAAACCATGACAGTAATGATGACAACTGTTCACTTGTGTTCTTTCCTGTGTGCTAACCCGGCCTTGACCCCATGTGCTCTCACTTCCTCTGAGATGGCCCATTAGTGCGTCCTGATCACACATGTGGAAAAGTTAGTCCAGAGAAGTTAAGCCACTTGCTCAAACTCACCCTGGATCTTTCTCTGGCCATTCTCAGCTGCCCAACCACCATGCTTCAGGTAGAGGTTCAGGGCTTGGTGAATATCAAGCCACCCAGCCTGTGTGAGTGGCTGGGACAGCCCTGTGAGGACCAGAGACAGGTAAGTGTTGTGCTGTTCACACTGCCTCTGGAACACAGAAGCCTCTGTTTGTTTCTGCACTAGTTACCAGTGTGCCTGTGGGTGATGGGCTCCACATGGCACCCAGGGAGCTGCTGAGAAGTTTCTGTAGGTAGATACGGGAGGTGTGGGGGACCTCCCAGATCCTTACCTCTCCTCCCTCCCTGCCCCCCCAGTGGTGCTCATTGGTGACTCAGGTGTGGGGAAGAGCAACCTCCTGTCCCGCTTCACCCGCAACGAGTTCAACCTGGAGAGCAAGAGCACCATCGGTGTGGAGTTTGCCACTCGCAGCATCCAAGTGGACGGCAAGACCATTAAGGCTCAGATCTGGGACACAGCTGGCCAAGAGCGCTATCGTGCCATCACATCTGCGTGCGTGTCAGCCAGGGGCTGAGATAGCAAGGGCTTGTGGGCATGTGGTGCGTGGGGGCCTCCAAAGGTTCTTAGGAGTCAGGCAGGAGAAGGGGAGAGCTCCTGAGATCAGGGACTAGGATGTGGAGGGACACCTCAGCCCTTTCCCTCAGAGACCCCCAGGAGCTGTGTGGCCCTCAGGTAGACCAGCATCCAGCCTTGGGTACATCATGGCCCTGGGGTATCACTGGGTACACATGAGGGCATAGCGTGGACCACCCTAATCTGCCCCCCCAAACCCTGCCCACTCAGGCTGGCCCTCCCTGGCCATCTTCCCCACCTTCCTTTTCCTTGGCCCCCTTCCATGCCCCAGCTCACATCCTGACTTCCCACCCATGCCTCCCTGAGGCTTCCCCACTTGTTCTCACTTCACTCACTGTCCTCTGGACTCCCTTCACCATGGCCTGTTCACCTCCCCATCTGCTTCATCCCTTGAGTGGATATGAGTCCATCTGTCCCCTCGGGTCCAGGCCTAGCACGGCATAGTGCGCATCAGAGTTTCTGCCCAGCACTGGCGTTTCCTCTGCACAGCAGCTGTTTCCTTCTCCCCTATTGGTGTTCTCATGATACCTTCTGCCCCAGACCCCAAACTTCCTCTTCAAATTCCCATATCCCTGAGCTGAATCTGGGGGATATCTGGGGCCTCAGGACATTGGACTCTTGGCTAGGCCCTGTATATGGACTGAGAAGTCACTGCCTTCCAGATCCTGTGAGGCCCACAGAACCTGAGGCTTACACCTGGATCCTACTCTGCAGGTACTACCGCGGTGCCGTGGGCGCACTGCTGGTGTATGACATCGCCAAGCACCTGACATACGAGAACGTGGAGCGCTGGCTGAAAGAGCTTCGGGACCATGCAGACAGCAATATTGTCATCATGCTGGTGGGCAACAAGAGTGACCTGCGCCACCTGCGGGCCGTGCCCACCGACGAGGCACGTGCCTTTGCAGGTGAGCTCAGGACAGGTGTGCTGGGAAGTGACTAGACCTTGCTCCCAGAGTGGGCTGACAGGCTTCAAAGAAGCATCTGGAAGACAGGTGACCTGCCATGGTGTTGAGGTTTACTAACAGTGCCCACCTCCCCTCCCTAAGGTCCTGCCCACTAGCACCAGCCATTCTTATCCTTGGGCAAGTGTGGTCCCTGAGAGGGGTGTGGAAGCCAGACATAGCCACACCACTCACTGGGACCATATTGTCTCTGTTCCAGAAAAGAACAACTTGTCCTTCATTGAGACCTCAGCCTTGGATTCCACCAACGTAGAGGAAGCATTCAAGAACATCCTCACAGGTGGGCACAGGGTCTGGGTGGACATGGGGTAGATGGATGCTGAGTACACAGGGTGCATTGCGGCCCCTGGGCCTTCACTCATTACGCTTACTGTTCAGTATGGACCCAGGACAGATGTGGCCATTCCATGGGGTCAGACCACAACTGGCCCTTGCTGGCATAGGAGAGACACCCCTCATCCATCTCACCTGGGTGGGCCCCTTGTGGAGTAGGGAAGGAAGCAAGTGGCCTGTGATGTTAGGGAACAAGAGGCCCAGACCAGCCATAACCAGGTGTGTGCCCCACCCTTGTGCCCTTAGACCATGCATGGGAGCCCAACCCCAGTCACTCTTTTATCCCTGATGTGATGGGGTATCATGGGGTACAGTGGGAGGCCTTTGGGGGAACATGTGGCCTGAGTCCTTGAGCAAGCCATTCACCCTGGGAAGTGCACACATTTTGCTCAGCCTGCATCTTCCCTGTTTGCAGAAATCTACCGCATCGTGTCCCAGAAGCAAATTGCAGACCGTGCAGCCCACGATGAGTCCCCTGGCAACAACGTGGTAGACATCAGTGTGCCGCCCACCACCGACGGACAGAAACCCAACAAGCTGCAGTGCTGCCAGAACCTGTGACCTCCCTGCGCCTCCACCCAGCGTGCGTGCACGTCCTCAGCCTGCCCCTCACCAGTGTCCTCCTGGCCCCTCTCCCCAGCTCGCTCCCACCTTCCAAGTGAGCTCCACACGTCAGCCAGCCCGTCCCAGGAAGAGCAGGAGTTGAGTGACACCTCCCGTCCTGCCTGAAGAAAGCTAGAAGCCTCTGCTGTGTACCTGGTCTCCTTGGGTCTGGAAAAGTGGGGAGGTGGGCAGGATGGACAGGGCTGGCCAGAGGCAAGGAGGATGAGCGGATGGAGCCGGCTTCTCCTGTTTTCCACGGCAGACTCCAGGGAGCTGTCACCTCCCTCCATCTCTGGCCAGCTGGCCCAGCATCCCCACCCAGAACCCCTTCCAGGCAGCCTGAAGAGCCAGGCAGCAGGGACTGGGCAGGCGGACACTCCAGGCTCTGCATCCTGCCTGCTCCACACACAGCCAGCGCCAGCACAGCCTCCAATGCACCCGGGCCTGCGTGACTTCTGCTCTTGCCTGTAGATTTATGCTGGGAAAGACCCCTCGCCCCTTTTTGCCCCACTCTTCTGCACGCAGCTCTCCCTCCCTGCCCGTCCTTCCTCTCTGTCTTGTCTCCCTGTCTGGTCAGGAACCTGTTTGCAAGTGAAGCAATATCTCAATGTTTTGTATATACAACCGCTCTTGTAGCCTTTGGTTTTTGTTATTGTAGAGAAACAGATTCTTTATACACTTTGTAAGATTTACGCCAAACCCCAGCTCTCGATCTCTTATTCTCCCTGTGGCCCCTGCACTGTTGCCCGTCACTAAAATGTATAAGCCGACTTCCTGTACATAAACCTGCTGCGCCTCTGTCTTCTTTCTCTATGCCAGGTGGCACTCCTGAGCCAATACCCCTCACTGCATGTCCCCCCATGGCAGGCTAGCCACCCTGGCTCAACCCCACAAGAGCAGGAAGACCTTTGGTCAGAGCACCAGCCAAAGGCAGTGTGCAGACCCCCTGAGCTGACCTGGCAGGCCTTCCTGTGGCTACAGTCTGGGGCCTAATGAGGATTGAATGAGCCCTCTCCAAACTGCCCTGTGGCAAGAAAGGAGGGAAGACTTAGGAGTGTGGCCTGATGGGGGATCACTGGGCCAGCAGGTGGAAGGCGCCCCCTGGTGGGAATAGGGGAAGTGGCTCTACCTGCTACTCACCATTTCCATATGCCCCAGCTTAGACTAGACCACTGGGGGATTATTCCTCTACCTCTTCCCAGGATTCAGTTTTTCTCTTGTCCAGGTGGCCAGGGCTGGCAGGAGGAGGTCTCTGTCACCTGAGGACTGCCAGCTGTTGTAGAAGTCCCACTCTGTGGTAGAAGAGGCCACTCATGCTCTGGATACCTTGGGGACCCCCTTCCCTTTTGATTCCCAGCTCAGGCCACCTGTCCTGGAGGGTGGGCCACCCCAGACACATCTTTGTAGAAGAGTCCTGAGCCACTGGGGCCATTTAAGCGAATTGAAGTGAGCTAGGGTGTGCCACAGGCTGGAGGGCAGCCCAGGCCAACCAAGGCTGATGATGGGAGGTGGGGTCTGGGCGGGGCAGCAGCCCACACACTCAAGGGCCCTGTTTATACCCAGCTGAGGTTGCTGAGGACCCTGCGTTTGAGCAGGACAGGGAGAAACAAGCAATGGATGGGGTTTTAGGGATTCAGGTGAAGCAACATATGGATTTCAAGCAGTCAAAAAGATCCAATATTTCTAGGACCTCTGCTGTTTGCCAAGCCCAAGGCAGGCACTGGTCAGCACTCTTATCTTTTTTTTTGAAGTACTGGGATTTGAACTCAGGGCCTTGTGCTTCTTAGGTAGGCACTCTCCCACTTGAGTCACTCCACAAACACACCCTGTCCTTGAGAATCACAGGCCAGAGCTGCTGTTTTAATTTCTGAGTACTTTAGTAAGCACATCATGCTCACTGTGTGTGCACCAGACCCTGTTCTGAAGGTTTTTTTTTTTTTTTATAATTACAGTAAGATGTACATTACATAAAATTGACTGTTTTAACCATTTCTTTTTTTTAATTTTTTTGCGGTACTAGGATGTGAGCTCAGTGCTGTGTGCTTGCTAGGCAGGTGCTCTACCACTTGAGCCATGCTGGCAGCTCCTTTGCCCATTTTAACCATTTCCAAGTGCACAGCTCACTGGTGTGTTGCACGTTCTCATTGATTTTTTTTTTTTTTTTTTTGTAGAACTGGGTATGAACTCAGGACCTCACAGTTGCAGGTGCTCTTAATGCTTGAGCCACTCTGCCAGCCCTTTTTTTTTTTAATTTGCATAAATATCCTTTATGAGCATGGGTTTTAATGGAAGATCACTGTACTCAGATAACACTCTTTAAAGCAATGTCAATATCTTCAAGCTTATACTTTAACAAATGCATCTTTCTGCCAGCCCTTTTTTGTGATAGGTCTTTTGAGATAGTCTTGGGAACTATTTGCCCAGTGCTGGCTTCAAACCTTAATCCTCCTGATCTCTGCCTCCTGAGTAGCTGGGATTACAGGAGTGAGCCACCAGTGTCCCCGCTGCCATCATTGTTGTGCAGTCATTCCCCACCATCGATTTCCAGAACCTTATATCTCCAAATTGAAACTGTCACCATGAAACACTAACATCCTTTCCCCTTCCCTAGCCCCTGGTCCCCACCATTCTACCTTGTGCCTCTGTGGATCTGACAGCTCTAGTTCTAAAAATATAATCGCACAGTATCTGTCCTTTTGTGACTGCTTTGCTTAACATAATGTCCTCAAGGTTCATCCATGTTGTAGCGTGTGTCCGCATTTCTTTCCTTTTTAAGGCTGATTTATATTCCATTGTGAATATACCCCATTAGTTCATCCATTCATCCGTTAATGGACATTTGGATTGCTTCTTCTTCTTTTTGGCTATTTGGAATAATGCTACTATGAACACGAGTGTACAAATAGCTGTTTGAGTCCCTGGGTGTCTATACAGAAGTGGAATTACCAGATCATGTGGTGATTCTGTGTTCACTTCTTTAGATTTATGTTAAGTCTACTGTACATCATTATTTGGTATTTGAAATAATCCAAAGGGGTGAGCACAATATACCATCCCTGTTTTCAGATGGGAAACAGAAATAAAGTGGATCTATGATTAATAAGATGCCAACAGATGTCAAGCCTAGAGATATGTATGTAGTCCCTAGGTTATAGGGCCTCTATACTGCATGCCTACTATAAGTCAAAAAGTTCTAAGAAGTGGATTAAGTGTCCAGGGAAGAAGTATAGTCAACCCTTGATATCTATAGGGACTCCCCAGAGATTCCAAAATCTGATCCTTATGTAAAATGGAGTGTATTTACATAGACTCTCATATACACTTTTGTTTTTCTTTTTGGTGGTAGTGGCGGTTTGAACTTAGAGCCTTGGTCGTATGACCCCAGCCCATTGTCCTTTATTTATTTGTTTATTTATTGGCAGTTCTGGGGTTTGAACTCAACTTCAGACCCACCCCCAGCCCTAAAACCTCCCATATAGTTTTTTTTTGCAGATTGAACTCAGGGCATCACACTTGCTAGGCAGGTTCTTTTACTGCTTGAGCCACTCCACCAGCCCTTTTATGTGATGGGTTTTTTGGGGATAAATTCTCAAACTACTTGCCTGAGCTGGCTTCCAACCTTGATCCTCCTGATCTCTGCCTCCTGAGTAGCTAGGATTACAGGTGTGAGCCACCGGCACTCGGCCCTAAATACTTTGTGTGTGTGTGTGTGTGTGTGTGTGTGTGTGTGTGTGTGTGTGTGTGTGTGTGTGTTTGTGCGCGCAAGCGCGTGTGGTGCTGGGAATCGAACCTAACGATCTTGTGCATGCTACTCAAGCACTCTACCACTGAGCTACATCCCCAGCTGTTCCTGTGTAGTTTTTTCTTTTTTCTTTTTTTGGTGGGACTGGGGTTTGAACTCAAGGCTTACACACTTGGAAAGCAGTTGCTCTACCGCTTGAGCCACACCTCCAGTCCATTTTGCTCTGCTTATTTTGAAGATGAGGGTGAACTATTTGCCCAGACTAGCCTCAAACTTCCATTTTCCCAGTCTCAGCCTCCCAGATAGCTAGGATTACAGATGTGAGCCGCTGGTGCCCGGCTCCTGTGTACTTTAAGTCAACTCTCGATGACTTATAATACCCAATATAATGTCAGTCCCATGTAAATAGTCGTTATACTTTATTGTTTAGGAAAAAAGTTTGTTCACAGTATAGACATCATTTTTTTTATTGAAGTACTGAGGTTTGAACTCAGTGCCTACACCTTGAGCCACTTTTTTGTGAAGAGTTTTTTCCAAGATAGGGTCTCAAGAGCTATTAGCCTGGCCTGGCTTTGAACTTCATTCCTCCTGAGTAGCTAGGATTACAGACGAGCCACCAGCACCCGGGTTTGCAGATGTTTTTAATGTGAGGTTGGTTGGATGTTCAGATTTGGAAATCACAGATAGAGAAGGATGGCTTGTACCAAAATTATTTAGTTCACTTTTTTTTTTTTGAGAGCAAGAAAGTCTCCCTATATATCCCTGGCTGGCCTGGAACTTGCCATTCTCCCGCCTCAGTTTCCCAAGTGCTGGGATTACAGGCTCTAACCACCATGTTTAAATGTTTTGTAATGACAGAGGTAGTATGGGAAGGTGACCAGGAAGTAGTGAAGAGGTCAGGTAGAGATGAATCAATTTGGATTCTAATACACATGTGCGTGGAAGCAACGCTAGGAATCTCTCTGTATAGCTATCCTTATCTCAACTAGCAAAAATGCTTTGTCTTTCTTATTATTGCTTATGTCTTCTCCTCAACAAAATTGGAGAAGTAGTGAGGGGGGTGGGGGAAGAAATGTCCCAAACAATATATGCACATATGAATAAATGAATAATAAAACACAGATGTTTTGTCATGGAAAAATTTAAACATATATAAAGCCAGATTAGTTTAATGAGCCCCACGTGCTCATTGTGCAGTGTCAACAGACCAATCTGGTTCCATTTGTACACCTCTTTCCTTTTGGTAAATCCCAGACATACTCCACCTCCAAGATACTCAGGACGCCTCTCTAAAATATCAAGATGCTTTTGGTAACACAACCTCAATGCTACTGTCACAACTAAAGAAATGAATAATTTCTCCTAGCCAATGTTCACATTTCCCTGATTGCTTATAAAATATTTCCTGATTAGTTTGAATTAATACCAAACACAGTCGATTTGTTCCTATTGGCCAGTGCATCTCTATAGTCTTTTAGCATACAGATTCTCTCTGAATTTATTTTTCTGGTGGGGTTGGAGTTTGAATTTAGGTCCTCAAACTTGCAAGGCCAGCAAGCTAGCACTTGAATCACATCTGTAGCCCTTTATTGCTTCACTTGTTTTTGAGACAGGGTCTCTTGTTCTTGCACGGACAGTCTGGACCACTATTTTTCTACTTAGAGTCCCCAGATAGCTGAGATTACAGGCATGAGCCACTAAGACTGGGTTTTTTTTTAATTACTTTTTTTGGTTCTGGACATGGAACCCAGAGCCTTGCACATGCTAAGCTGCACACTCTACACTGAGCTGCACCCCCATCCTCATCCCCTGGTTCTTATTATGTTCATGATGTTGAGCAACCATCACTAAATCTAATTGCAGTTTTCCTCCATCCTCAAAAGAAAACTCTTATTTATTGAGCAGTACTCCTCATTTGCTCCTTTCCACTCCCCAGCAACCATTGATTGGCTTTCTGTCTCTAGGGTCTTATGGTGTCACTTAACATGTCCCTTTGTCCTTTGCATTTCCTGCAACCTAATAGTTAGATGTAAAGGCTTGATTAGATTTAGCATTGAACACTTCATAGGTAAAGAACCTGATACTTGGAGGCACATGTCAGTCAACCTGTCTCTGTGTTGTTAGCAACTGCCAATAAGCCATTTCCTAGGTTCATAATCCCC